TGCCCCACCCCCGGCAGCGTTCAGGGCCGCGCTGGATGGGGCGCTGAGCAACCTGGGCTAGTGGAAAGTGTCCCTGCCCATGACGGGGGGTGGGAATGAGATAAGTTTTAAGGTTCCTTCCAACACAAACGTTTCTATGATTCTGCAGTCTCAGCTGTTCTGCTTCATTCTTTTGCATGAAATCACAGAAAGAAAGCTTGCTGCTTCAACAAGCCGTTTTTTATTACTGGACTTCACAGTCTATTTAGCACATTGAAAGTCCTTACTGTTGAGTCATCAGACAGCAACAACGAAGTGATTGTTAGAACAATAAAGTTGTTAACAAGGATGTCCTTTAGAATGAAGTAAGATGCAGAGAATCCAAGCATGATTTTACTGATGTAACCATCCTCAAGAGTCACTAAACCACCATGAATTCCCGATCTCCGTCACAGCAGTAGCACATCAGCCATCTGCCAGCCTTAGAATGTCACACTCCATGGGTGGCATTTACTATTGACTTGGTTTTCCATCATTAGTAGCATGTAACATCACATGCTGCTTTCTGTGCTGTGCTTTTCCAGCTATACAGTCTCCTCTTTCTCTAAAAGAGAGAAATATAGAAGTTTGTGGTTATAACAGGGTGTGTGCAGGGGGCTTCCTACATTCTGTAAGAAACAGCAAATCTTGTGGTTATTGGCTATTGTTTGTACTTCAATAGTAACAAGAGATTCCTGTCAGGCCTCTCCCTTTACTATGTGGGGGTGTACGAAGATACCTTGAAACACACCTCCCTTTAAGGCATTTTAAGATCCTACATCACTGTCTTATTAGAAAATATTAGAAAACATTACATAAAATACACCAGGAAAAGCAAAGAGAAGCTTTTCCCGACGCTTAAATAAAACAGGCCATTTCCCTCCTTCAGAAAGACGCTGCCCTCATCCAGCAGAGCTCTTTTACATTCATAAAGAACTGGAATCAGTTCCCTCTGCCAGGCCTGTGGAGCATGACCTCGAGCACGGACAGTGCCTGGGGCCACGGGCAGGGGCTGCNCAAGTTCATTAGCTAGCAGCTGTGATAAAGTGAAAGGGTGGCCTTACTCATATCTTTGTTTGAAGTAATCAGCATCCAAGGCACAGAAGTATTATGAAAAGCAGAAAGTTTTCCCACTATTGCAAAACAAAGCTCAAGGCCAGGCTGCATGGGGCTGGGAGCAGCCTGGTCCATTGGAAAGCGTCCATGTCCCTGTGAGGGAGGTTGGACCTAGATGATATTCAAGGTCCCTTTCAACCCAAACTTTTCCATGGATCTATCAAAGTTCACAAAAATGGAAATGCTCCTTATTTTAGAAGGATATTGTTGTGGGCATATGCAGGAACCTGCCATTCTACAGTTAAGAATTGACATAAACTCAGTGACATGACATCAGGTAATTAATCCTCAGTTAACCATCATTTGTAAAGTGCTTCAGCCTAACCTGCTGTTTAACAAATTCCAGGACACAATATCCAAAACACCAACGTGGTCTCAAATGCCTGAAAAGCCACTGAACATGCAGAGAGATGGAATTTTTCTACCTAATTATCCTTCTGAACTCCTCCAGCAGCCGATGTGCAGAGCACTCGCTGAAGGCAAAACAAATTGGTACATGCTGTGAATATTCTCACACAAACTGACACAGATGACTGCTGTATACATATGTATTTATTTCAGTGCAAATATCTCACTTCAGAACAAATAAACACTCTTCTGAAAAGCAACTCTCTCATAATCACCTTCTCCTGACTGCAGGGGAGGAGCAGCAAGGCCCGGGAAGGAGCAGCAGGTCCATCCCTGCCCATCATGGCACCAAGACATGTTTTAAATCAAAAAAACAAACTCAAAAAACAACCCCCAAAAACCCAAACCCAACCCTGCCTCGGTCCCTCTATATTCCTGACTCAACCCGGGCTCCCCATCAATCCTGCAAACACAGAGATGCTCCCAAAATCCTCACCTCGCCCCCCACTTCAGTGGGGCGGAACACCTGAGCTCCACCCATTACCCCCAAGTTTCTGACTTCATCCTTAAATTGACAGAAATAAACCTCAAATATCTTAATCTGAAGCTCTCAGAGCTGCCCCAGACACCCCTAGACAAGGGGATAGCCCCGGTCCCACAGCACTCAAGCGTGAATTTCACAAAGGAGTCGCTAAACTCCCCAAACACCTCAAGCTCACTGAGGGGCCCTCAACCAGCCCCCCAAAAAATTCAAACCATCCCAAGATCAGAGGGGTCACCAAGCCTTCCACCAAACTCACAGAACAACCCCGGCACTGCAGGGTCACAGAAAGGCCCCTGAACCCTC